ATGAAATGCATATTGTTGCAGTTAAGACATATTCAACGTATCATAATCTGTGTAAACTCTGAGGCATGACCAAAAGGGAGATAAAGATATTGTCCCATTGCTTTAACTGTAATACACAGCTTGTTTTACTTTTACTTTAATTAAGCATATTAGCAGTAATGCTGTCTGATTTAATGTACTGTGTACTCTGCCTCTGTGATTCACTGTCCACCGAGGGAGCAAGGAATATTTACAGATTGTCCATAGGAAATAAAACCTGGTTTTCTGTAACCTATTTTTACAGGATCAGGTGGCAGTTATGAATCATCATAGTCCCCAGTAGACATCCACAGGCCACCAAGACAATGATTGAGTTGAAAGGGCTATTGACTGGGTCGGTGACTTGCAGCCTTGGGTTTCCCGATAAAACTACCAGTAAGAGTTGGCTAGGGAAAAGCTAGCTGTTAGAATATCACTTAAACACCCACTTAAAGTGACATTAAACCCTCAGATTTTTTAACATAAACCAATGCTGTAATGTGTGCCTTACTGTAATCCATGGTAGTTTCCCTTCTCTTTGCTGGTCTTCCTTTTAAATCCTCATTTCTTCTCATGCTTGGGGAGAACTTCCCTTTGCAGCTCAGGGCCTCTTCCTGTAGTGCTGGCTCAGGTTACAAACCAATACAAACCTATACACAGACACCATACATCCATTCCTGAGACAAGGCAGTCTGCTGCAAAACTGAAGTTCTGCCCAGCATGAGAACAGATACAGATTTAAAAGGAAGAGCAGAAAAGAGAAGGGAAACAACCATGGATTACAGTGAGGCGCACATTACAGTATTGTTTTATGTAAAAAAATCTGAGGGTTTAATGTCACTTTAATGGTCAACGTCTCCATACAACTCTGTGGGAGTTGCCAGGGAATGCTAATATGCAAACAGTGAATTCATTTCATGAAGTTGAACGTGGCTTCATCCATCTTGCCTGCCATGATTTACCATTAGTCCATTTTTTCGATGGACAGCCTCACAGAACAATAATGAGGTAAGGAAGAGGAAAGGGCCAAGCTCTCAGGGAACTCTAAGTGGTATCTCATCATACATAAAGTATTCCCTAATTGCCTGCTTGCATTCATGGCTTTCTGCACCTTAAAGTGATACTAAACTCAGGCTTTAAACCTTAAAAATACATTCAAGTACCTTAAAGGAGAACTATGAGGTGAGTGATTTTCACTCAACCTCATAGTTTGAGCCGACGTGTGACAATGAAACTGTCACACATCGGCTCAATAGATGGGGAAGTGAGCGAACGCATACCGTCGCTCGCTCCCTTCTCAATCATGTCCCTGCAGAGAGCCGTGACTGTCACTCATGGCTCCTGGCAGGGATTCCACCATCCCCTCTCCGATACTCCAGCGCTGACTGGCGGAACGGACGGGGAGGGAGCGGGTACAGCTGGTTTTGCCTCTAGATAGGCAGAGCCAGCTGTCACTCACACAGCTGGGTGGATCTCGACAGTAATATCGGGATCCGTCCCGGCTGCGGCAGTCCCAGTATACAGCGAGCTGTAGCTCGCGATATACGGAGCTTTGGGTCACAGGAGGACGCTAGTATATGTCCTCCCGTGACCCTTAGGAGAACTATGGGGAGAAACACTTACCCCATAGTTCTCCTTTAACTATTAACAAAAATGTATCTTATTTGTGTATCACTTTCTGTAAAGTAGCCACAGCTCTAAACTCACTCTCCTTATAGACTAAAATAGTTTACTAATTTGTACTGAGAATGTA